TCCGTCGACGATCCCGTTTATTTTCTCGTATTGTATGCTTAAGTAGAATAAAGGAGCAACATCCGGCGAATGATGCGCGTTGCGCTGAAAGTGATGCGTTAGGTTACAAGGCGATCGATCACACGTTGCAACAACGAGCGTCATCTTCGCGATATCGCAGTATTTTGTGAGAGTTCACATATGATTTCTATGAGTCCGAGGACGACGATTTTTTATGATCGTCGAGACCCAGTCGTCGGATCTCCATCGTCGGAAAGAAACTATTGTAATGCCACCAGGATAAAACGGTGTGCATAAATTTTAATCGCTTGCGAATAGAAGAAAAGAGAGGGAGAGCAAGAGAGATGTTGTCTAGTTAATTATCGCAACAAAGTTCATATTCGACTATCGTCGTATCCAGAAGGAACGCGTGCGCAGCGAGAGAGATCATGAGAGAAAAAGAGAGAGAGAGAGAGAGAGAGAAGACGAAAGTTAATACTGCCAGTATCATGTGTATATATATGCATATACATATTACGACTCCCCCGCATCCTCCTCTCGCCCACCCCCTTTTTTAACATATATAGGTATCCTACCAATACATCTTCAGAGTAACGCGAGTAGAGTTATATACTGTTTGTATGGCGATTACAGAGTGTGCGAGTTCGAATGGAAGCTCGGCATCTTGCTTCCAGAGCGGATCGTCCGCGCTCAGTGTTCTTCTGTATGAGATTTCAATGAAACGTAGAAATTCCGATCTCTTGACATATGTACACACACACACACGCACAGTGTGTTCTCCACCGCAGCGTCGATTGCCAAGAAACCTGTAATCGCGAGCGTTTTAGGAGGATTACTCTTCATTCATTATATTATACACATAATCCGGAGAAAGAGAGATATTTATGTGATAATCAATCCCTCTGATTTGATCGTCTAATATACGGAGGCGGAGGTCCCGCGTTAAAGTGAAAAATTTTCGAGATGCTCCTCTCGCGAGAGAAAACCCTTTAGTCAATACACGAAATTAACAAACTGTTATTTGTAAATTTTTAGAATATTCACTCGTTAATATAAAATGTTTTCTGCGATTAGTCGGGGACTATTTGACAAGACCAGATTTTAAAGCGAGGAAAAAGATGTGTCAATCGCGTTCGGAATTAATTTCGATTGTAAAATGTATTTTAGATAATTTTCACCAAATCGAGAAAATGAGTTGGATTTAAGTTATCAATTGTGCGATGCAAAGATTGTTATTTTATGGTTAACACGAGTGCCGAGTCAGTGTATATGCACGACATGCATCGATCGATTAGTGATCGTTCTTCATTTCCGCCGATATCTTGTATGATTCGAGTGCTGGTTGCCCGAATACGTTGTCATTCGTTACTTATTTAAAAAGACCGCTCATTTATCACGATCAAAAGTATTGTATTTACGAAACCTATTTCCGTTTATTTCGAGAAGATTATGTTTTCGATTGGAAAAAAGAATACTGCTTATGTAAAATGGAAAAAAAATAAGATTATTAGTTTAATGTAAGTAGCGTATAACACATTACCGCAAGTTTTCGTACCAGCAACGTGTTCGTGTAATGAATTTTATTCTTAAGTATATAAATATACTTTCGACAATATTCTATAATGTAAGAGTTATTTTTCACGGGGATGTTCATAATTTTTCGTGTGCGTACGACGCGTTACAATAGAACGATCACATTATTGATAGTCTTCGCAAAATCTCTCCATATATTATTTAATAAAAAAGAAAACACACCGCTCGCAGTTCAAATTTTTCTAGACATTATTCTTAGCAATGATTAAGACTCGACACGCGATTGCAGCTAGGCAGTAAATTTCAGGAAAGAGCCGAGATGGACGAAATTGATCGCCGAGCCGAGATCGATTCTGTAATCCTTGTGCGCGGAGAGGGATGATTGTAACACACGCAAAAATTTAGGCAACAGTGTGCGTGCGTGCATCGTGTGAATGCAAATTTAATGTTTATGCGTGCGTGTGTATGTGTATATTTGTGTATGCGCGATAAATTCTTAAAGTGAAATACGAGAAGTGAAATTAATAATTTGTCATCACAGAAGCGAGAGAGAGAGAGGGAAACAGACAGAATGAGATAAATAACGTCTGTCTCGATCCTCGGAATTTGATTAAGTGAAAAACTCCGCCGGAACATCATACTTGCGCGATTTCGTTTTTTTTCCCCTTCATCGCGTCAGGCGAAGACGCTCGTCTCTCCACGAGTTCGCGCGCGAAAGGATAATATGGCGGGGAAAAAAGATTATTAGTTTAATGTAAGTAGCGTATAACACATTACCGCAAGTTTTCGTACCAGCAACGTGTTCGTGTAATGAATTTTATTCTTAAGTATATAAATATACTTTCGACAATATTCTATAATGTAAGAGTTATTTTTCACGGGGATGTTCATAATTTTTCGTGTGCGTACGACGCGTTACAATAGAACGATCACATTATTGATAGTCTTCGCAAAATCTCTCCATATATTATTTAATAAAAAAGAAAACACACCGCTCGCAGTTCAAATTTTTCTAGACATTATTCTTAGCAATGATTAAGACTCGACACGCGATTGCAGCTAGGCAGTAAATTTCAGGAAAGAGCCGAGATGGACGAAATTGATCGCCGAGCCGAGATCGATTCTGTAATCCTTGTGCGCGGAGAGGGATGATTGTAACACACGCAAAAATTTAGGCAACAGTGTGCGTGCGTGCATCGTGTGAATGCGAATTTAATGTTTATGCGTGCGTGTGTATGTGTATATTTGTGTATGCGCGATAAATTCTTAAAGTGAAATACGAGAAGTGAAATTAATAATTTGTCATCACAGAAGCGAGAGAGAGAGAGAGAGAGAGAGAGGGAAACAGACAGAATGAGATAAATAACGTCTGTCTCGATCCTCGGAATTTGATTAAGTGAAAAACTCCGCCGGAACATCATACTTGCGCGATTTCGTTTTTTTTCCCCTTCATCGCGTCAGGCGAAGACGCTCGTCTCTCCACGAGTTCGCGCGCGAAAGGATAATCGTTTCGCCAAAATTGATGTGTGATAGAAAATTTCACTTATACATATATATATATGTATATATATATACATATATCTCCGAACACAGATCTCCGAATTTTTACGTTTCTCTGCGTACATTTCCATTTTTAACGTTAATTCAATAATAGACTCTGTATATAATACACCGCCTATGATTGTACGAATATTTGCGTTCGTCGCTCTTGCCGATACCCTTTCGGTTCTTCCCTTCCAGTCTTCGAGAAATAGATGCCAATCGACATATCATATCACTACTTCCGACTGCATTGTACATACATACAATCATCTTTGTGAAGAGGAATCTCCTCCAAAATAAACTGCCAGCCTGTTGGAAGAATCATTTTCATATGGGAGTCACTGCGCTACTTGCGTTGAATTTTCAGTGAGTATAAAAGACACTTATGTCACACATATATCAAATTTTAAAGTGATCTTTTTCCTTCCTCCTGATAAAACGTGCGTCGCCGTCTATCTTGCGATGTGTACAGTTAATTATTTCGGTACGCATTTGTCAAGCATTATGACAAGGAGGTTGAAGGAAACGGAAAGGGAACGGCCGGAGCATTTCTATATTTATTTATACATACTTATTTATATCTAGCATAAAAATCCAATTTAGCTACAGAATAGAATTAAATTCAAGTAACAATGTGTCAAATTGGAAGGTGAAATGTCAAACTTTTAACGAAACTTATCTATATGTTGGTTATAGTTAATTCTCAAAATTAGTGAAAAAAATTCATAGGATGACGATGGTCTTGGAGCGTATATGCATATATGTATATATATATATATAATTAATTTTACTTAATATTATTATTTTAAAACGATACAATCTTGTCTTTTCTTTCGAGCTATCATTGATAGCGTGCTGCCAGTCGTTGCTGCGTTTAAAGCCACAGAGCTCGCATGTCATTTCGATAACGTTGTCACGCGACACGACGGCGCTTGTCTGTCGGAGAACCGTTCGTTTATTGTTGTTTTACTTAATGCTTGCGTAAAGAGACTGATTCATGTAAATTCCTTCGCATTTTTCTTTCATACTTTATTTGTTTTCATCAACCCGAGTAATCGCGGAGATTCACGTACAAAAAGAAATATTTAAAAAAAGAGGGACAGAAAAAAGTTAAAGCGAGAAGAAAGAATGGTTGTCGATTTCTCGATGACGGAATCGCTGCTGTAAAGAGAGAATAATAAATGATACGTGTAGACTTAATGAAATGGCCAATATTTCGCCATCCCGACAAAGTGCCGTCTTTTATAAATATTAATATATTAAGACAAATTTTGAAAATATGAAAATTATTAATAGATAGAACGGTAAATTCTGCTTTTTCATGAAACGCGGAAGTTGGACGATCGATTTTCTGTTATTTACGATATGCGATCGGAAG